CTTTTATGAAATTTTTTAACATAACTACGGATAATTTTCACTATATTTCTGTTGACCCGTTCCGCTATATTTGATTGCGGCCGATACGGGACCATTTTTAATGACGTATGCCCATTTTTTTGGCACATGTCTTCAAATATATTACTTACAAATTGACGACCATTATCCGATATAACTTTTAGGGGCGCCCCCGTATTTTAAAATATATTTATTTAAAATAGAATCGGTAACTAATTTCGCGGAGGCTCGTTTTAAGGACAAATTTCGGTCCATTTACTAAAATGATCAACCATAACAAGGAGATAGCGACTTTGTTTAACTGACTTTTTGGGAAGGGCCCAATAATCTATGCCAATTATTTTCATCATTTGGAAATTCGGATTTAATACTATTTAGAAACCCGGCCGGGCGGAAATTAATATAATTAACGGCTTGACATGTTGGGCAGGACTGGACATACGCCCTTATTAACTTTTGCAGTTCAGGAAAGTAAACTGCCCTCGCGTACGCGTTGGATAGTTTTTTCGAATACCAGCATGAAAGCTAAAGGGCTGTCATGGAGCTCTTGCAGGATATTTAATCTAAGACTAGCTGGGATAACAGGTCGAAATTCGTTGTTGAATTCGTAGTTTTGTGTAGAATAAAGACCATCTATTAGTTCGTAATGGGCCGCCCTATTTCTTATCGCCACAATATCTTGGTGGCTAAATTTTCAGGATCCTTCAAATACTCATAAATACTTCCAAACTCAGGATCCTTACCCAGTTCGGTTATTACAGTTTCTCGGGATTTATTGTACACGCACGCTGTAAGCATTTCAACTTTTACGGTATTACCCTGTTGTCTAATTTATTCGTGATAGGGCATCTGCTACGATATTTTCCTTTCCGGGGAGTGTGTTTGATTACCAAGATTACACTCCTTGTAGCTTGAGTGCCCTTCTTATTAACCTTGGGGATAAATTTTTTCCTGAGTATAATCTAGTTACCCCCGCATAATCAGAATACACTGTTACTCGGCGAACTTCCAAAATAGACTCGGAACTTTTGCACTCCTAACAGAACTAACTGCAAGTGCCTCTCTCTCAGTCGCGGAATATTTTCTTTGAGTTTCGTTTAAATTTCTACTAAAAAATGCCACGCGCTGCTGATTTTGGCGATAGTACTGCTCCTACCGCATATAATCCGAAGCATCCGCTGAAATTTCTAAATTCTCATCCTTTTCAGAAATTTCAACACAGGGCTTGCGTTTAATGCTTGTTTTAATTTTTCGAAAGCACTATTGGCTTCGGCAGTCCACGAGAATCTTGCCTTTTTCCTTTTTAATTTTAACAATGGCTCAGCGATAGCCGCAAATCTTTTATAAAGGACCTATAATATGAACAAAGTCCTAGAAAAGAAGAGAGCTTCTTTACCGTGTTTGGAGTCGGATACTTTTGTACAGCGATTATTTTTGATTCATCTGTCTCGATCCCTTTTTGCGATATTTTGTAACCTAAATATTTTAATTCAGGGGCTGCAAATTTGCATTTTTCGACATTAACTTTAGACACCGCCTCATTTAATAAAAAAACCCTGTCCTAACATCCTGTATATGATGGTCGAGATTATTAGTAATGATATCAAATGTGGACTTTCCGAGAACAGGTCTTAACACAATGGCATGATGAAATGTTGCTGGGGCCCCAGAAGCCAACGGCATACGCAAAAATGCATAAGTGCCAGACTTGGTTATAAAGCAGTCTTAGGCACGTCCTCAGGCCTGACCCCTATTTGAAAATAACCATTCGTTAAGTCTAAAGTCGTCATAAATTTGGTTGATTTTTATGTTCCTTAAAATTTCTTCTATAATCGGTAACGGATATACCGGATATTTCGTTATGGAATTTAATTTACGGTAATCATAGCGAATCTCCACCTTTTTGGATGCTCCAAAGGATAATCATTATTTTTCTTACATAAAACCACCGGGCTAGCACTACTACTACTTGAGATGGGCGTTTATGATCTTTTTACGTAGCATATCGGTAATATGCCATTCTAAAAATTTTTTTTCCTTATTCTTATCATACCGGTATGGTTTTTGACGAACCGGCAACGCATCTCCGGTGTCAATACTATGGTTAGTAACCTGAGTAAATCCTGGAATATCACTAAATAAGGAAGCAAATTCACTTACCACTTTGTCGGATTCTATCTTGCTCGTCATTAGGCAGGTGGTCAGATTTAACCTTGGCGGTTCACTTTTCTACACGCACTTGTTTGATCGTCAGCTTAAGGGACGCTTCATTAAAATCCAGTGTAGCTTGTGCGTCTGAAAGGAAGTCTATTCCTAGGATTAAATGTGCTTGCAAATTCTTTACTATAAAAACATCACCTTTACTTGTTCGTCCTTGATACGGATGTACAAAGGTACTTTACCTACGCACTTACATTGTTCTCCTTGCGCCGCTAATACTGTTGTATTATCCCGCATTATATATGCGGTATTTGCGAAAATACTTTCTAAAAAAGACTTCTGCCACACAGGAACCTGCGCCCGGTAATCCAGGAGTGCGGTGGCCGGGATATTATTTACCAAGACTTCAATCTTCGGAAGAGTTAAATTTTCACCATTACTGTATTTAACTTGTAGGAAGAGGGTTTTCGTGGCCTTCGGATTTCCGCACCCTCTCGTCAGCAGAAATCCGTTTTTAGTTTAAATTATTTTTCCTTTCCGTGCTTTCCTTCTTTTTTTCCACTGGCCTTGAGACTTTTTTTCCTGGGTTGCTATTGAACTGTCGACGTTCGCCGGCTGTTTTTGAATGCTCGGTTTCCTTGCCCACTGATTCGCTTTTTCTCCGTAGCCGTATGCTTGAGTTTGCTGTAGTCCTTGGCGTACCAATTGGTTTCGCTGTTGATATTGGCTCTTCTTCTTTCGACGTCCGCCGTTCTCTACTTTCAAAACTGCATTGCTAGCTCAAATAACTTTCCAGTGTAGTCGGATTTCTCAATTCCAATAAAGTCTTGCACTTGGGGTAGTAACCTCGGCAAAATCACTTGAATTATTTCAGGATCCGGACGGTTTCCATACAAGAGCTTGAAAACGTGAATTTTTCTTAAAATAAAGCTCGAGAGGTTTTCCATTCTTTGTTGATATATACTGAAAAGTTCTGTTTCTAATTTCGCACGATCCCTTACAACAGGGAAGGCTTTTAGTAGGCAGTCTTGAATTTTCGTAAGTATAGGTTGGGACTTCCTGCTTGACCCAAGAGACTTCTGCCGATACATTTGAACCAGTTAAGAAGCGCTTGGCCCCTCAAAGCGCTGGTACTAAGGTAACTTTCTGAAACTCGTGCACGGGGTAGAGCATGAGTGGTCATCCTTTTTCCAAAAACTGGTTACCGGTGAGTTTCCGTTAAATGTTGCTTCTGGTTTCATTCATCGAAGCGCGCATGGTCTGGACGATTACCCAATCCTTCCAGGCGGCAGCTGCCATTTCTGGATTCTGAGCCGTTTCTGCAGGCAGCACAGGTTCTTCTTGAAACTCGGCCATGGTTATTCTTCGTCGGGCGCCACTATCAGGTTCAATGTTTCTTCTAACCTTCTTCGGAAACATACATGACCTGACTAGGAACAGAGAGCTTACTAAAGCTGTGTTCACTAATTGTAGTAAATATACAGGATACAGACGAAAGGTTACAAACCCTTTATTTTCTTTATATACAATGACTTCCGTACTTCGAATACAATGACCCTCCACTCGGGTCTAACTTAAAAGATATCAAATAAAACTAAACTCTAATTTAACTTTAGAATAAGATTGGCCTTTATAAAAACAGGAACCGCATGTAGCACAGAGACTGTGAACACACCAAAACGTTAATTATTCAAGAGGATTAATACCTCTGGCCTGGAAGGCAATTAGCAACTGCGTAACTTCTAAGGTAAGCGGCCTGCTTCGAACTCACGGCTTCCTCTCTCATTCTTGGCCCACCAGCGGCCGAGCGGTAAAGTCGCTGAACACTGGTAGTTCGGTCTGAGGTTCGAATCCCGCGAACGGGCTGGCTGCATGGGTGTTTTCGTGGTTTTTCCCCCATGTTAACGTGTATACGAGCCAGTTTCCCTTAGAAAGTCCTCCACGAAGGCATCCCTCCCCATAGGCAGATAGCCCTAGTGTGCTTTGCCGTAATTAAATACACCACACCACCTCTCTCATTCTTGGCAAAAAGGCCACACTTAAATACTTGGCGTTCGCCAGACAACTTTGCATAAACTCCTTCACGCTTATAATTCTGGCCGGAAGTAGAAAATAAGAAGTGATAGTAAAGATTTAAAATAAAATAAACGTTAGTAAAACTTAAGATCCTTACAGCAGTAGTTTCCAAAAATTATAAAAGCTATATATTAAATATGGAATTAAATTATGCAACATAATGTTTTAAACTGTGCGAGCAAGGTGGAAACATGAGGAAAACATTTGTCACAAAGCGAATTAAATTATAAAAATATTTGTGGTAACACAAACTTTCTCATTACTATCTCAGAAAGCAGCTATGTTATGTAATCAGCTGTAAAAAGTTGGAAGTAATTGCTTTTAAAATAAATAAGTTATCCCAATTCTTGCAACAGTCCCATATTTCGAAGATCTTGTGGTTTTTAAGGTGTATGAGTCCCCTTAAATTAAAGAAAAGTGCATTCATTATCGTCGCTGAATTTAATACACGTGTATAAGAAAAGAAACTTCCTTCTCCGACAAGCACTATTTTATGCAAAGGTATATATAAGTTTTGGTTTTAGTTTGGTTTTATTAGAGTATGGCAAAGCACTCGAGGGCTATCTGCCTTAAGGGAGGGATGCCTTCGTGGAGGACTTTCTAAGGGAACTGGCTCGTATACACGTTACACATGGGGAAAACCACGAAAACACCCATGCAGCCAGCCCGTTCGCGGGATTCGAACCTCGGACCGAACTACCAGTGTTCAGCGATGTTACCGCTCGGCCGCTGGTGGGCCCCGGTATATAAAAGATGTTACACATTAAAAAATGGGAAATATTCATAAAGTAATATTATTCAATTTAAAATACGTATCTCTATTCCTCTATTCCAAATCTATTATATCTTAACTTTAAAAAAAAAAAATAATAATAATAAAATAATAATAAAATTTTTTTAAACTGATTATAAATATTGTGAATTTACTGTGTACTATGTTAGTTCCCAACGACGTTGTTACTACTTCCAAAAAATTACTTGAATCATGTTTTCGGTGATTGCATCTGCAGAAAAATGGATATATGATGAACATGAAATAATGATAACACCTTTAATATGAAGTGTTTTAAATTAAGAATACATTTATTAACAATCTCTGTACTTAATACACATTTACGGAGTTAGCACAAGAAGAAATAAAAAAAAATTCTCTCTAGGGGGGGGGGAAATCACTACATTTATTATATTAAATTCGCCACACTAAGGCGTTGTAAGAAGCGCAATCACATAGAAAATAAATAAATAAATAAATAAAGTCAAAAATACAACGCACATAATCTTTTCGCTGCTGCTATCAAATAGTATGGAGGTGTAACTTCGAGCCCAAGCAAAGTCAAGGCGTTACTAAGAGCAGAGGAAATGATGTCATCGTAAGCTATATCCAATCACGAGGAGGGATATTTCCCTATGTGCGTGGCGCGGTATAGAATGCTTATATGCCAACGGTCACGTGTAGATTGGCATCAACTTCTTCGCTCACGGTGGACAGGTGAGGATAAGCAGAATTGTTGCCGGTGCCACTCCTGGATCGGTTGTTGCCACATTCTGTTGTCAATGCTGGTGCATTGTGAGGTAAGTCGGGCCGGTTAGAAGTTGACGAAACTGTACTCGGGGGCGTCATTTCGATAATGCGAGTGTCTCTGTTCAAGTTTGGTCTGAAATACAAAAACATATTTTGTAAGAAAAATATGACATAAGCTAGATCTGTTTATAAGAGAATTAATGTAATAGTAGAAAATAATTTTAAAATATTGGGAAAAAATAGATTTTGGAATGAAGCCTTTTTAAATGTAGTCTCTGAGTGTTCATTAAATTTTTTTTTATTGTTAAATTTTGCTTTTGTTTACTTTTATTATTATTCCTTACAAAATTCTTATTTTCCGATAATTCTATTGGATAGACACGGGGATTTATGCACTACTATTATGAAATACCCATATCTTTCCACCTACTCGTTTTAGATACAGTGGAGTAATACCGAGGTACTCAACGTACTCCACTGTATATACGTCCGCTTTGAAATGCGTGCCACTTGGGACACGTCCTGCTTGAACGCCAAAATTGTTGCTTGACAGGCAATCTTTATTTGGAATACGAGTCGCGTTCGATGAGTTATGTCTGCGCGCACTGCACTTGTTCACCTCTTTCGGGACAGAGCCTCCTATAATTCTGAATTTTAAACTGATCTTTTCGTGTAATTGTATTGTAAATTCATTAACAGAAGCCTTAGAGAAGTTAAGGAAAACAGTCAAGTAACGAAGAAAATGGTTAGGATCACAACGGAGATGAAAAAAAAGAACATAGTTGAAAAGTATGAAGATGGCAGGTATGCCGTGTACGATGGCGTCATCGACTGTGAAAAACCAAAGGTGCTATTAAGGGGACGGAATTCATGGGGATCGACTAGGATGCTGCCAACGATCTGTGCTTAGCCTCGTCACTGGGGTATAAGATACATAAACCCGGTTCTTGGTGTCTGGAGGGGCAGTCTATACTGTCCTGGAAGGCAGGTGATTTCGGCCATCCGAGTAGGAAAGCGACGGGCGGCTTTCTTCGATTCTTCGCTCCGCTTTCATAATTAGTCACCCGTCCGCCACAAGAATTATAAAACACAGCAGGAGCCTAAGGCTATATCAGTGGAAAAAATGTATATCTCCTCAGCCTCTTTGCACATACGCAGATTTCCCCTTTAAATTTCTCTAAGCTGCGTGATTAACGATCTTCCTGTTCTCCATAAGGTGCTACCACGCATTAATTTGTTTAGGACGAACGGCTGATTCGAAGAATATTTCTACTTGTTTTGCCACTGAAAGAAAGATCAACGACATTTTTCATCCTTTTGCAAAAAAATTAAAGTTCTCGTTTTCAACAACCAATCAGCTATCAACATCAAATCTACCCATTATCAACCATTCAATTTTTAATGCAACCTCTTTTCCCTCTCCTCTTTTGTGTTGTCATTAGTCATTTACAACACGCTTCTTTGGAAGTACGCCGGCAGGTTTCGTCATAAGTGTGTCATTCCAACGCTATTTATAGTTTTTCAGTGCGCTGATCAGTTTGCTCAGGAAAATTTAAATTTTTCCGTTTCGAAATTTTTTCACTGTAACCATAACCGAAAGAGGTTTATTGTTTAAAATCACCACATTCTCGAGCACATATCTTCAAATAATAATATTTGAAATTTCATTTCGATGGGTCGAGCAGATAGACTGCTAGGGGTTCATTTGTCGGGGAAGTTTTTTTTTATGACCACCCTTTGTATCGCAATTTTTATGACCACACTTTTGTATTTGTTTATGGTTACCTTTTGAAGACTTAAATGTGGAAACATTTGTATTATATTTCTGCCGCCCAATTATCAAACTTTATCCAACTAACGAATCAAAGAATTGATTATCCAGAATATAAAAATGAGCTGATTTTCAGAACTTCATACTGAGCCCGCCATGCTTGCCCATTTTCTGGAAAGAACATTACTTTGACTGGCTGTTGATATAAATTATGCATTCTGATCATGTTTGTAGACAACAAATCGAGTAACAAAGATTTTCTTAGTTTTAAAATACATCTAGCGCTCGTGTCAGACATCTTGGATTTACTTACATATTCGAAGAAGATGACAATTCGTAAATAATTCCATTTCAGTCGTATTCCCTCAAGATGTTGACGAACTAATTGGACATGTACTGGGAAATGAAGAAGATGATTACAAGGAGGGGGATAATGAAAATAGAGACGATATAAGAATAAAGAAAGTTACGTAGATAGAAGTTGACACGGAGCTGTAGATTCCCCCAAGATTTTCCGAGAAATATTCGTCTACGTCCATATACGATGTACAAGAGATTTTGGAAACTATGGCGGCAATATTATAATCAAGCAGACATTCGAAGTCTGCCACCGCACAAAGAAACTCGTAATTTTCATGTGACAAGAAATATTGTAATTTTTAAATGTTATTTGTTTTCCCGAAATATAACATCCATAATAAGTGCTTTAATTTTCAATAATCTGTAGGATTTTCAATATTGCTTATTTAATTGGGGCAGATAGATCAGGAACACGACTGACGGACTTTTTATGCTGCAGTTTCTACAGAAGGCATCACATAGCACGAGCAAGTAAGTTTCCAGAGGCTGTCCGCACATTTTCAGACGATGTATATTGTATTCACAAAACTAAATTACATAAAATTCTTGTGTTTTAAATGTTCTATTTGATATCCTTTATTCTGAACTATCTTTCGACACCGCAATTTCCAGGATAATAATGCCTTTTGAAGTGGCAGAACAGCTATTCTATCCCATTCCCCCCGAAAAGCTTTCCAGAGTTCTGTTAGGGTTTGGGGACCACGTTTGGATAATGCAGTTTTTAAAAGTCCGAAAGCACAAAAATCCATAGGTGACACATCGGGAGATTTGGTAGGGATATCAGTGAAGGGTATGGCCTCGATACCAGTTTTTTGTTCCATTTCTTTTAGGAAATTTACAGTGGATTTTGATGTGTGACTGCTAGCTTTGTCCTGATGGAGTCTGACAGATGGATGGCACTGTGGGTAAAGCGATGGTATTTCATTCAGAAAAATTGGCGATAAAATATGTTCCTGATAGTATTTGGAGTTAATCTTGACATTTTTCTGCACTGTCTTTATTTTTAACTTGTCATTATAAGAAAAACGAGCAACAGTCATGAATCCCTTAGAAAAACTTTCTTTCGATTCTTTGAACAATGTACTCAAATTTTTTTCTCCCCTTTTATGATAATAAATGGCTCTTTTTTTTGTTACAGTCATTTAAATACACCCATGCTTCATCTATTGGACAATTGTTTTCCATTTTTCTTTGATAAGTGTTTCTCATATAGATTCTGCAGCGTTCCTGCGTTGAGCGATATGCTTTAAAGAAGACGATGCACATGCGTTTTTTCGCTTCTTCTTAGATTAAATCAACGTTTATCATTTTGGTTACAGTGGACACCGAGCATTTTAATGATTTTGCAACTGTCCTTGACTGGGGATTTCTTTTAACATTAACAACGTAGCTCTGCAATAGTCGAAGATGTCCGTTTTTTCCTTGGATACTTGTTTGGAATTTTTGTCCCACTTGAGGCTCCAATTTGACGTTTTTTTTTTTTTTTTTTTTCCTTTCTTGTTGATGATATTACCTATCGACGCTTTAGATATCAGAAAACCATGACTCTTACATCGTTTTTGGATAACGGAGTATGCATATTTCTCTACGGAAAGAGCGTAAATGTAGCCTTGGAACCACTACTTTGTTAAATTCGCCATTTTGAATAAAAACAAAACTTTCAAGCCACAAACGATAATTTTGACTTTTAAAAACATAGTACAATCGCAATTACTTCTTTTGCAGCAAAAGATTTTTTATTACCGCTTACCAAAATCGTCTAAAAAATGTGCGAACAGCCTCTGTATATTCAACTATCCCGAAAACATTTTATCCCTGCGGTCCCCATACTGCATGTCAAAAAGTATTCAAGTATATATGAATAGAAACGCAGCGTCAAAAACGATAGCAAAGGCCGTATAATGACTTTTATTGCCAATGTGGATAGCAGGTAGACAAATGCAATAAATAGCATAAAAGTTTTAGGAAAATGTTCTGACTGGGATTTAAAACATCTGCCACTTTCAGAGCTAGACAAGCACACTCACTGCATGTAGGGTTTCCCTTATTTTACATAAGAAAATATTTAATGTTTTGTACCTTTCCTGAACCTCTCATTTTCCCTTCGCATTTCCTCGCCAGGATGCAAATTTAAAATTAAGTGAAGTGAGTATTTAAACGGGCGAGTATAATAGTTTATTCAGAGCGTGATTTCGCTAACCAGCTCACGTTACTATTTTGTCCTTGCTGTTACGGGGAATTTCTGATACCCTTTTTTGGCCATTTAATGAGTACATCTTCCGGTAGGTCAGCCTAATTAGCCTAAAATCAAACTGTTAGCCCTTTGCTGGCATTCTGTTACGAATGTGCGAGAGGTCGTCAGGTTCCATATTGAGATCTAGTGGTATTTATGACAGCAAAGATAGTTAAATCTTACAAGCATAAAAACACATTCTTACCTTTGGCCTTCGTTGAGCATATTCTTTATAGCCTCATTGTCCGTAGAAATTAAAATGCCACGAACTGCGTTGTATTTCATTGCATCTTCATAACATGGGGGAGGTTCTATTCTTGCTAACACACTCATTGGTCGTTCATCCTGTTTAAAGAATCATATGTTACTCATACGTTTTGCGCCAAATTTTGGTACACTGTAGGGGGGGGAGAATAGTTCTATATCTCCCGTTCTATTGGGCCAACTGACGAAATTCAAATTGCGTTTTTCATGTCTCGAAAGCGCGACTTAGGATATATATATTATATTTATATATAGCAATCATTCTAATTTAGGTATTTTGACATAAAATTGGATTTTTTCTAAAATGACATGGCAGTTTTTTCTAGATTTTGATTCTATGACTCAAATTAAGTCTAAATACTAAATTTTATAAAATTTGGTGCAAATTTACGGAGATATTCACAAATTTATCCTGGTGGTATTTTTTTCAGCTTTCGCCAATAATTCACTTGGCGAACTTCTTATTTTATAGCAACCTATTTTTCTTTTTCTTTTTTTCATTGTAAGTCATCGTTCATAGTTTCAAATAATTTTAACAAAGTGCCTATTATCGTTTGGCTTTATTCTCGCTCCCCCCCACAAAAAAATGCCAAATTTCAAAATGCTCCAATATGTAAATTCATGTATATCTTTGAAAATTTTGAAAAAAAAAAAAAAAAACTAGTTTTTTACAGGTCTGCCTAGAAATACATCTACTTTAAGTCGGTTTTAAAAATTTTATAGGTTATAATACAAAAATTTTTTCGAAAAATTAAAAAAAAAATTATTTTAAAATACAAATTTTAAAATAAATCATAAAAAATGTGCGAATAACATTTGGATTAAGCCTAAATTTCGGATTCTGGAAGAAAGAATCGAGTAAGTTTAAAAAAGAAAAGAGAGATTAATAAATATATATCAGATTCAATTAACGGAGAGGAGCTAAAATTTTGAGAGCTAATTTTTTAAAAACTACTGGTGCGATTTTTGTAAAACTTCTCAGTTTGGCATAATTTAAAACGTAGAATCGAAAAATGGTAAAACTGACATGTCATTTCAGAAAAATTCCGATTTTGTATCGAAATACCTATATTAGAACAATGCTATATATAAATCTAATACATGTACTGAGTCACGCTTTCGAGACATGAAAAACGCAAGCTCAGTTTCGCACCATTTTTCTACCCCTTAGTTTTTTAGCGCTGTTCTGAAAATTTTTTAAATAATTCCGTTATATTCCCCCTCCTCTAATGCTCATAGTTTTTCCTCCGAGGATTAATTTATTGGTAAATTGTATTCCTGCGATTATTTTTATTTTTATTTAGCGTATCCAATTTGCAGTAACATTTCATCTATTTTACTTCCCACCCCCCTTGCATTTATTATCCGAAGCGTTTTTTTTTGCGTAGATTCTCGGTTGAGCTACCCGCACTTCGTAGGTGTTCTTACACCTAAGAAACGTAAATAATAGAAATAAGGTGAAACTTCCGAAACTTGAGTTCACCTTATTTCTATTATTTACGTTCTAGCTCATTCTAGCCTTAGCGATTGCTGCTGTGTTCGATCTTTCGAAATCCCTCTCGGTTATTCGCCCTATTTCTTTTTTCTTCCTCCAGTGGTCCTCTCGGGAACTGCGGTGAAGACTCATGTGAGGTGCCACCGGGACTTTGCAAGGTAACCGAATCGAAGAGCGATGTGTCCAGTTCATTTATTGTCAGATATCGGATCAATATCCGTCAAATATTTTAATGTTAATATTATTATGTATTCTTATTAGAATGTAGGTTTCTTTGTTGTGAATAGTTACCATGGCTGCTTTCATTTATTATGTTTTTATTGTAACCGCATTCCTCAGAAATTAAATGACTGGTATTCTTTCCTCATCTCGGTTTTCGAACGATAAAATTAATTTAAAAAAAAGGGGGAGAACACGAGAGAAAATACTTTTTTAAAAAACAAATTCCTAACAAAATTGTATTAAGTAAAAGAATAAATAGAATTTTCCAGTATGTTTAATAACAGCTAGAATTTTCTGCATGTTTATGTGCTTATACATGTTATTTTTTAAAATCAATTACTTAACATAATTGCATTGATTACGATTATTAATGTATTAATGTATTTTCTGCATGTTTATGTGCTTATACATGTTGTTTTTTAAAATCAATTACTTAACGTAATTGCGTTGATTACGATTATTAATGTATTGTTAACGATTTTGTATTTATATAGGTAATTTTAGTAGAATTAAAATTGTATTTCCTCGTGCAATGTAGCGCGAGACAAATTTTAAGAGGAATATTAAGAATACAGGTGCACGTGCATTTAACATTGAGTAAATGTCTATCTCGGTTATTTGCATTGAAAATTGAATAAATGTAATTGACCACTAGGTTAGCTGTAACCGTAATTCCACCCTCGTATTGCTTTCCGGTAATTCCGAGAAGTAGAACGTACTGTTAAAAGCTATTTAAGGAGAAGAGAGAGCATTTGCTCTTAGTTGTTTAGTAAGCTGCTGTTGTTATTGTTTCGAGTTGACCGTGAGATCGGATTACCTTTCTCTTTAGATGCACTTTGCATTGCGTTGTGTTTAACGTTCTTTGTAGTTTGTAGTGTAACTACTGATTATACTGTGCGATACTGTGAACACTTGTACGAGCATTTGTGTGGAAAATTTAAGTGTTCTGAAGTATTTCTTTTGATCAAAATAAATATTTATTAACCTATTATCGGACTTGTGCATTCAATCTACCACGAATCCACACGCACGGAACATTTTTTGGTGTCAGGAGTGAGGTTGAATGCCAGTGACAAGAGCGATGGATGAACAATTAAGGCAGTTGGTGGCAGCCTTTGCAGCGTTTCAAGAAGCCGAACACGCGCAACAAACCCGTATGCACGCAAAAATATATATATATTAGCAAATGGAATGTGTGCATGTGACCTTGTGGCATTACATTATACATTTTGATTCGTTTTTGAGTTCTCATGGCAGAAGTAGCATTCCTGAAATGTTCGCCACATGCTCTGTCTTTAATCACGTGGAAAATCTAAGCCTTTCTGCCTGTATGCGTATAAAATATAATAAAATTCGTTGTCTTTACAATGACGTAACTGGGATTCGAACTCAGAGCCTACCGACTACTAGCGGATGTATTCCAGTTACAAAACGAAAGCATGCAGTAAAGAAGGAGAAAATCTCTGAAAAAATTGATTGAACATAGGTTTGAATCTTGTTATAAATTTCTAGGCTCACCAGCGGCCGGGCGGCAAAGTCCCTGAACACTGGTAGTTCGGTCCGAGGTTCGAATCCCGCGAACGGGATGGATGCATGGACGTTTCGTGGTTCTCCCCTACGTGTTAATACGAGCCAGTGTCTCTTAGAAAGTCCTCCACGAAGGCACCCCTCCCTTCTGTGTAGTGCCTTACGGTGGAACACGTAAATAATAATAATGATATAAATTTCTACAAATATTTACTGCATAATCAACTGAAACATTTGCAGACATCTGTAAGCAGTTCATATCCAAAGAAATTTAAAAAGGAAAATAGTTCTGATAATGATTAGTAAATGAGAGAAATGGAGTTTGCTCTGTAAGATTGATTAATTCAATATATTTGTACGTCACACGTGAGGAATTACTTTTTTTTTTTTTTTTTTCCGGGGGCGGAGCTTTTGACGTTTAGAGACATATGCTAATAATGCTTAAAGGTTTTCACAGCAGAGGATGTCTTTTAACCTGCATCTTTCTGGGGACTTCTTTCTCTTCATAAGTAAGAAAAAATTTATTCACAATGATATGTAATACCGAACGCAGAAATCACGAATGATGCAAATTTGCGGTATTTTGGGGAACTGCGCAGGGAGGTATGTGAGATATTCGGAGATACCCAATTAACTAACTTTCTGTTCCAGAAGTCGGTCGCACTGAAATGTTATAATATCTGTAAATGTAACCTTACTCAATGTCGGTTGATAGAGACAGACATAAGGGAGAACCCATTTTCTATGAATTTGGTAATTCTTCGATTTGAATAGCCCAAAGAGGCAATTTGACCAGAAAGGCTATTAATTTCTTTTTGGTATTTTGCGTTCGTTCATTATAAATGGCGCTTCACTTTTCAAATTGCTGCCACCAAATAATAGAGCCCTGAATTATATTTAAAGAAATTAAACAATGAAGAATTTGCGTAAATGTATGTATGTTTCACGCACTGTGAAAAAACAAGGCCACCTAGAGACATCCAATTTTGAGTAACGTAGTCCTCCACTCGAATGTGGGCATGTGGAAGCCCAGATTTGGAATTCGTTTTATTATCTATTTCATATTTAGTAAAACAATAACGAATTTTTTATTAACAAACTCAAAGATTTCAAAGCGAGCAATGGCAACACTGTGCGGAAAATAAGACATTTTTATTTCCAGCCCGCGAGACTGTGTATCGGAAATTCTAAAGATGTGCTTGTTTAAAAATTATTTTGCGATTTTTCTGTTGAACTGAATTTGATGGTTTAAGTGCGAAGAACATGATATTTAATAAATAAGGGTTAACACGCAAAACGTTAAAAAAAAACGCCCCTTTGGGAGTAATATAAAATTTGAAAGCTTTCAGGTTTATTATTATTATTATTTATTTATTTTTCCCCCAAAACATTTCTGCCTCTTTGCTGTTTCAGAATTGGTAGGGGTAATGTTTTTTAAAAGATTTTACACATTGCAACATGGAAAGTTTAAAAGGATTTGAAGGTAAGATTTGTAGACCCACGATGCTAGACGATTTCAAGAAAATGTGCCAAAATAAAAAAATGTCTTCATGCTATTAACACGTAATGGATGTATTTTACAGAAAATTTGTGATGAATTTCTTACTTTTTGGAGAATTTTTAAAAGAACAATGAAAACATAATATTTGAATGTTTTACTTCTGATACTGGAAATCATTTTTTGAACGTGTTTATCTTCCATTTATTTTCTCTCCATTTCACTATTTACAAGCGCTAAAAATATCAAAAATATTTCTAATCTTATCACATGGACAGGCATTTGTAAAAAGGAATTTTTGTAGTAATAAAGAAAGTAAAAACTGACAGTTTAGAATAT